CAGATGAATGGATAAAGAAGTGTGTGTGTGTGTGTGTGTGTGTGTAATGGAATACTATTCAGCCATAAAAAGAATGAAATCTTACCATCTGCAACAACATGGATGGACCTTGAGGGTCTTACCCTGAGTGAAATAAGTCAGACAGAAAGACAAATACCATATGATTTCACTTATATGTGCAATCTAAAAAACCAAAATAAATGAACAGACAAAAAAATCCCAACAAACTCATAGAGGCAGACAACAGATTGGTGGTTACCAGAGGGAAGGGGTAGAGGGCAAAAGCGGTCGATTGTATGGTGACAGACGGTAACTAGACTTTTGGCCATGAGCGCGATGTAGTATATACAGATGTCAAATTACAATGTTGTACTCCTGAAACTTTTATGATGTTATAAGCCAATGCTGCCTTAGCAAAAAAAAAAAAAAATTGCTCATCACTGCGAAGAGGTAGCCAAATGAGCTGATCTCTAAGTTCCCTCCCTGCTCCCCAAACCCTACAGTTTTATGTCCCATGAAGGCATAAGACACCGCAAAGCCCAGTGGATTAAACACTCCCTAGGTGAAGTCTTCCCTGCTATGTGGTAGACTCCAGGGGACAGCCAGGGAAGCCAGAAGCAGTCTGAAAATCTGGGTTCAAGTCCCGACTCTGTCACTCACTTGTTCTGTTGTAACAGATGAGTTCTTCCTTTTCTGTGCCTCAGTATGCCCTCTTGTACAATGGGGGAGTTGCCTAAAAGTAGGGAGAGCCATGCATCCCACCGTGGCAGCCTCCACCTAACAGGTCAGACTGAGTCTCAGTTCCAATATTTACAGCCACCTTGTGACCTTGAGGAAGTCACTTAGCCTTCCTGTGTCCTCAGCTGTGGAACAGGGTGAGGAAATCTAAGCCCAGAGGGCTACGGTGAGAAGTAACCCAGTTAATATATCTCAGTGCAGAGCATGGAGCACATGCTCAGTAAATGGTGGCTGCTATGAAGGCATGGGGCAGGATGGATGTCCCTCTTCCTTCCATCTCTACAGTGGCACCATTTGACCAGCAATTGGGGGGTCTCTGGGATTCAGGGGTTCCTTTAGTATGCAGGTTTAGGTGGAAGGAGCTAAATGCCCCACTGGGGTGGGTGAGGGGGACTCTGCTGGGGCTCCAGCTTGAGGTTTTGTTAGCAGTGTTGCCACAACCAACCAGGTAACTAGCAATGGGGTGATTTCCTGGTCACAGCAAACAAGATCTGCTGCTTCTTCCCTGAACATTTGTGAATAGCAGTGGTCCCCACCCCAGATCCCCATTCCAGAAGCCATGCTGTGAATTTCAGGAACCCACTCCCCTCCCCTGCAAAACAATTGTGAGTGTTGGATCTGAGATGTGACCAGAGCCTTCATAGTTACCCCCTGCAGTGGTGGGATGGGAGAGGTAAGTTCAGTCTCACAGACACCCCTGGGTACCGCCTTTGTGCCAGCCTTGTGCTGAAAGGCCGTTCTCAGGAAGGTCCTGTCCAGTGGGGAAGACAGTCCATGAGCATCACAAAGGGGGAAAGCACTGTGAGCTCTGAGAATTTGATGCCAGGGAAAAGAAGGACTACTTACATCTGGTTGGTGGGTGGATTCCTAGAGGCTTCCTGTAGGAGGTGGCATTTGAGCTGGGTCTGGAGGATCTCTCTCTCTCTCTCTCGAATAAATTTTAAAGCACAGAAAAAAACAAAACCAAAAACAAACCCAGAAAACAAGGTAACAACCATTCCTATCATTCCTATTTTCACAATCCAAAATAACTATTTTGTGAAGTGTATATAAAAATATACATATATAGATTTTTGAAATGACTTTCAGTACACTTTAAGCCCCCTCCCCCACACTCCCCAGTGACAATCACCATTACGAATTTGGAGGTACCCCTTCACAAGCCCCCCTTAAAAAATAATTTTATAATGCAAAATAGAGTCAGGAATAATTTTTAAAAGGATCACTCTTTGATTTATGTCATTCTAACTTATGTAAGTGGTGTCACACTGTATGTATGACTCCACTTGCTTTTTCCATGGCCCATTATGTTTTGGGGCTCCTTCCTTGTTGGAACTTGTGGCCCTGGCTCACCGTGCATCGTATGGATGCACACTGGTTTACCAGGAGCGGCAGGGTTTCCATGGATGGAGAAAATCAAGGGACAACATTTTAGGTAGAGGGAGCGGCAGCAGGGAAGGCTGGGGATAGGGAAGCCAGGACGCAGTGGGGGCTGGTCAGGCCCAGGGTGGAGGGAGCACAGGACATGTGAGGGGGCGCTGGGGGAGGCCCCATGCCCCAGGCCAGGGATCTGCAGTTGGCATGCTGGACATCTGGGATTGTGGGGACAGCCCCCTCCCCCCAGAACCACCACACACCCTCCACAATAATTCCACTCATCCACTCTCCAAGGCCTCTCGGGGGAGGACTCTGTTACTCTTTCCATTAATTGTCTCATTAATGACCCACTGAAGTCAAGTGCCCATTGTTCTCTGGGCCTGGGCAGCCTCCCTGGCTTGCTCCCCCGGGATCAGTAAGCGTCTTTCCTTCCCCGCTTTCCTTTGGCAGGGGCCCTTATCTGGTCCCCGCAGCCCTGTGGCCAGAGCCGGCTCTTCCTCCACCCACACCCTGTGCGCCCCCGGGGCCCTGCTCCCCCAGGTCTCTCTGCCCTCGCTCTTCTCCATCTAAATGTGTGTCTTTCCACGTCTTTTTTCCTTCCCTTTCCTTCTTTCTTATTTTTTAAACACTCTGTCTCTCTCCCTGGATTTGCCGCTTTCTCTCTGTGTGTATTTCTCTATCTCCCTCTGTGTCTCTGTCTCTGTTTCTAGGTCTCTCTTTCAGAATATCTGTTAACTGTCTCACTGTCACCATCTGTTTCTGTCTCTGTGACTGTCTCCATCTCTTTCTGTCTCTACCTGCTGATCTCCAGGCTTCTACGTGTGCCCGTGAGTGTATGTCTGTCTCCCTCCGATTCTGCCTCCCCCCACCCCGGCCTGTGTGCGTACCTCTTTGTCTCCGTCCCTGCTCCCTCTCTCTGCTAGCTGACTTACCTCTCCCTACCCACCCCTCCTCCCTGTGGGTCTCTGAACCCTCCTGATTGACTATTGTCCTGTTTCCAAACCCTGCCTCAGGGCCACCACTTGCTCACCCACGGGGTCCCTGACACCCACACAGGTCAATTCGCTGCCCCACATTGCTTCTCTCGCTGGTTACAGCTCCAGCTTCCCTTGGATGACAGCCTTGGGGACATCAGCTCTAGGAGTAGGCGTGAGGTCACATAGCTGCCAGACTTCCGGATTCATGCATCAGTAAAGTTAAAAAAAAATGGGGGGGAAAAATGGAGGGGACCAACAGGTGACCAACTTTTTATTTTTCTAAATAAGGATTATTTTTAGAATCATAAGACTATTTTAACACCAAAAACACAAGTAGAAAGAACAAGATCTAAGAATATAGAATAGTCCTTTCAGTTAAATTAAGTTGTATGAACACATTTGCTACATTACCTTCATTTTACTTATTTTGCCCCAAATGGGTGAAACTGTCAGGGACCAGCCTTGGTTCTCTGGCCCAGCTGGAAACCACTGATCTTGTCCGAGCCCCTCCTTGGTACCCATGGGGAATGGAGGGACCTTTATTGAGGGTAGAAAGGGCAAAACTGAGACAAGACCCATAGGCTCTGGCTGGCCACTGAGAAAACCCAAACGCTCTGAGCCAGTGTCAGTCCGATGCTGTCAGCACTGTCACTGTCGTTACCATATGCACTGCTGGTGCTCTTCCTGCTCACGTGCTAGAGGAGTCTGCCAACCAGGCGAGGTATCAATATGTAATTTTTACTGTCTCCATAAGAGCTACCATTTCCTCTGTGTTTACAATGTGCCGGCTACTCTGCTGCTTTGTATGAAGCCCTTTATTAGCAGTAGCTTTCTAATTGCCTAGAACGCGTTCTGCTTCTCTGTACCACCTTTGGGGCCCAGAACAATGCTAGAAGGAGACGTATGAAACAAAGCACACTGATTAAGGACCCACTTCAAAATCAGATAGGAGTTTTAAACTTCACTCTGGCACCTACCACCCGTGTGACCTTGAGCAAGTTAAATATCCTTTCTGAACCTCAATTTTCTCCCAGGTAAACGATAGGAGTAATACCTACACCAACTAGGATTGTTTATAAGTTTAAATGTAGTAACACAAGTGTCCAGCATGGTAGCTGGTCCACAGTAGGCATTCAATAAATGTTAGTCTGAGGTTGAGGAAAAGGTTACCAAACAGATAAACTTAGAATAGGGATGCTTCTTTTTTATTTTTTTAAACTTTAAATAGAAACAACCTCTATGAATTTGAAATAATTTTTAAAAAATATCATAGAGGTAATAGGGAAATAAGTTATGGTACAACCGTATTGTGGAATACTACACTGCAATGAAAAAGAATAAATTGTGCCCACGTGTTCACACATAGATAGATGGCCATGTTGTTGGGTAAACAAAGCAAGCTTCAGAATAGGAACAGAACAGCTCTCCTCCCAACTTTTAAAAAATTATATATGTATAGAGAAAGGTCTGGAAGGATATACCTCTAATTTTTAAAGGGAAGTAGGATTGGGGACTTCTGAGGAGTGTCTTCTAATTTTTAACATTCCAGTTTCTTGTAATTTCTAACACACGCGCATGCACGCACGGAAGAAAAGAAAATAAACCGGAAAGAAAGGTTTTGAATTCTCTTTGGCCTGCATTTTTCATGAGACTTTGAAAGTGGTTGAAATGAAGAGAGGAGATGGTTAATTCCTCTGGCGAGTGTGAGAATGCCATACCCAGCTTTTGGCTTTGAAAGAGAGAGAAACTGAAGGAGGGAGAGGGAGTTGCTCTGGCGTCATTAGCTACTCAGCACATCCAAACAGGTAGTCTTAGTCTCGTCCCTGCCACCACCGAAGCCCTGACCCGCGGAGTGACAGAAAGTCTTTGATAAATGTCAACTGAAATAGAGCAATCAGCTGAAAGCCATTTGCTGAGCTGCCTGACGGCCCTGGGCCTGAGGCTTTCCTTTATTCATTTATCATGATATACGGCTTTGGCCAACATACACACAGGAGAGAAATTGTTGACATGTGGAACCCAAGTACAGAAAATCTTTCAATTTCCCCCCCGTCTGTTCACCAAATAAGTTTTTGTTTATTTAAAGACTACAGAGGATTTGGCTGTTAAGAACCAAATGCCTTTGGAGTGGAGTTACAACATAATTTATCATTTCCTCTGTTTATTAAAAAATCCTGCATCTTGGAGAAGCACATTTGCAGTGAGTGGGGGATTTTGGCCACTCACGAAAGACTGTTGCAAAGCCCTCTCTATGTGGCTCACCCGCAAAGAAGATTCCTTGATTGCTCTTTCTCACCTGTTTTCCCTTCAGCTGACTTCTAGTCGTGCGATAGCCACTCAGGGCTGGTGGACAGGGTCTGACAGAGGACAGGTAGGCAGGGCAGGGCATGTGTCAGCTGCTTTCACCTTGGACCTAATGCTGCCCGAGTCTGCACCGGCTGCCCTGCAGCCCACCCACCGGTGCAGGCGGAGGGTGATGGGCTCCCCCACTGCCCCGGAGTCAGACGTGCGGGAGCCGATGCTGCTCCGAAGGGCGAGGCCGGGCCGGGCCCTGCTGCAGCCAAACCGGATGCCCTTCCACAGGCAGATGGGCAGAACTGGACTGAACGTCCTGCCTTCCACCCGCGTTACATAACAGCAGGTCAGCCCCGGCACCGGGTACCCTCCCAGACGGGGCCACGCCTTGCCCAGTTTTGTATTCCCAGCGTGTGGCACTGTACCCGACACAGCTGGTGCTCACTGAATGTGTGCGAGGCGGCGGCTGCTGCGGGTGGAGCTCGTGCTGTAGATCAGCCCGACCCGAATCCCAGCTCTGCCGTGTGCTGGCTGCATAACCAGGCAAGAGACCGCACCTCTCTGAGCGCTCCCCTCTCTGTGCAATGAGACTGGCGGTAAATAATGAAATCCTCTTACCAGCTGTTACTTTGGGCAAATTACCCAATATTGTCAAGTCTCAGTTTTCCTATCTGTAAAATAGAGATAATACACATCTCGAAAGTTTACTGTGAAGATAAAAAATATTGCCTAGAACTGTATCTAGCTCATCGTGGCTATATTATGAATGAATGAATGTATGAATGAACAAAAGAACAATTAAAAGAAAAATTACTGGGGGGTGGGGAACTAACTTCACCCAGTACCCAAAGATGAGTCACAACAAGCCGCTTGTCTGTCACTAACAGGCAGACCCTGGGGAAACGTCTCTCATTACCAACTAAATGTTGAGGACAGAGCCAAGACTGAAGAATGACGAATGACACCAGGGGTCCTGGGGTGGGGGGAGGAAGACTCCGAGGAGGCACTGGCCTGGCTGAGCCGTGAAGGATGCGCAGGACCAGCCAAGTGGGGAGCGGAGGCATGGTCCAGGCTGAGAAGAGCGTGTGTGAAATGATTTAGGGGGAAGAGTATTGTCCTGGCTGCTTTACACACAGGTCCCTAGCAATCATCCACCCACACCGATCTGTCACTTCCTTTGTGCTTACTCTTCATTCATTTTAATTTTATTGTTCGGTGAAAATGGGCCCATAGCAAAGGCATCAGTCACAGCCTAGCAAAGTGTAAAGTTGGGGACTGGGCCCGACTAATTGCTTGTAAAGGAGGCTCCTGAGATGAGGAGCAGTCAGTGGTGAGCCTGCTGGTGGTCCTAGTCATGTGGCAGCACGGACATCCTCAAAAAGCCCACCCATGCCAGAAGGCCAGGTGCAGAACGGGGCCAATGGGACCGGGGGCGGGAACGAGCAAGGCCAGTGTCCCCCTGGAAGGCTGGGCCTCACAAAGACTGCTGGGTACACGGTGACGGCCTTCGTGTGGACAAGGCAGAGATGCCAATTTGCCACCCAGGGGGTCCACTGGAAACTGGCCTAGTGCACTTTCATCCGAGGAGCTCTTTGGTCTTCACTGCCAGGTGCCTGTCCAGCTCTGCAGCGGTGTCGTCGGCCATTTGGCTGATCTGCAGAAACACAAAATGAGACAGCCTGGTACCCAGGGCTGAAGAAGAGTGGGGGAAAATGTTCCAGAATTATGAAAAGGTTGTTTGGGAAATAACAACGGTGACATAAGCTCACGTTCACGGAATCCCAGCCAGGCACTGTGCCAAAGCTTGATGTACACACTTTCACTGATTCCTAACAGCTACCTCATGAGATGCAGTTATCACCCCCACTTCACAGGTGAGGTAACTGAGGCAGTTAGACCACCTGTTCAGGATATACAACTAGAAGGCAGCAGTGACAAAAGTTAGTTCTGGGTAGTCTGCTTCCACAGCCCCCAGTTCTTAACTATTATTATAGAGTACAGAGGAGACGGCCTTGTCTGTCCCTTAACAAACTTCCAGAATTCCCTGCTCTTAGACACGCTGCTGTATAAGCCCGCATACTAGCTGATAAGAAGAATATTAAGATTCCGGTAGTTAAGCAGAAAAAAGTCTTGAGAAAGGATGAAGTACATCTGGCTAACAAACATGGAAAATTCAATAGACACTGAAGAAATGGAAATTCAAACGAGACATAATTCAGTCATCAGAGTTAACAAAATTTGATGTTGTGGTTTTTAATTACAATATTCAATGCCAGGAAGCTACGGGAGATGGACAAGGTCACATATCATCCATAAGGACCAAAACGATGCAAATGTTCATACCATTTTAACCCCAAATTCTCTCAACGGGGAAACTACCACAGGAGAGGAATCTGAAAAAAGTATAAGTTCTACATACAAAGATATTTATCTAAGCTTTATTTTTAATAATGAAAAAATGAGAGAATCAGAAGTGAAAGAACAGGGAAGTAGCTGAATACATACAGACTTAGGAAGGGTTAAGCGGGCCCATTTCTCCAGAGAGGGTATAAACATGAGCAAGATTCAGTTATATTTCTGAAACGTCTCAATGGTTGGCTGTTTTAGAACAAGCATGGAGTCTTTTGTAATCATGAAAAAGGAATGCTTCGAGATATTATTTATAATATCACAGAAACATGCTTATGTTACCCCTGAATTAACGAAAAAGTAGGATACAAAATTGTGTATATGCATACATAGCAGGAACAATCTCAAATGTTAAAAATTATGCATATTTTTTAAAACTGGGAGGAAAGCTGTCAAAATATTAATAGTGATTATCTTCTAGTGATGGGAAGATAGCTGATATATTATTCATGTGGCGTCTGTCACAGCTACCAGAAGACCTAGTACACAGCAAATGCTCGGGAAGGAGTTACTAAGATAATCATTATTCAAGTGTTCTGTGCTTTTCTTATTTTATGCAATAAACCTGTACTCCCTCTGAGAATGAAAAACAGTACAATTTGGTAGGTGCTGTGGTCTTCCTCCGGCATCTAAAGGGGACATGAGGCGGGAAGCCTCGGGCAGGAAGCTTTGAAGGGGTGCTCAGCAGCACAGGGCTGTTTGACATCTTTATTTGCAGACCACAGCCCTTGGCCAGGAACTGCAAAATAAATGCACTGGAAAGGGTAGAAACTAAAAAGAATTTGGAGCAATTGGCCCCAGGCACAAAGACAGCCAGGCTCTCGCCATAGCAACAGCTGCACATTTTTTAGCTGGAAAAGCAAAGCTCCCGGGGCTGCCGGGCACTCTGGGAGAGCGCATGGGCTCAGAACGACTGCACAGTCCCTCCTCACTGAGGCGCCGCAAACCCTAGAGATGGTTCTTCTGCCCCCACCTGAGCAGCTTGCTTTGCATGGGGTATGGCCTGGTGCCCAGCAGCACTCCAGCATGTGTGGGCTGGCAGCCTGGGACAGCCAGGGACAGGGCTGCAAGCAACGAGGGCTGCAAGCCTCCTCTGGAAAAACAGTATTTGAGGACAGAGTCGGGGCCTGGGGGAGGAAGAGTACCTAGGGTAACAATTGGATAATGAGGGTTCTGGGCTAAATTTTCAGTGTGGTGACAATGTACAAGTCCTTTCACCAGGCTGAGTCTCAGTTTCCTCATCTATCAAATGGGGATGCTGGTCCATCCTCAGAGAGTAGTTGGGAGGGTTAAACAAAGTCATGAATATTCAAGCAAATTTTAAATTGGTTATTTGCTATGCAAATGCTGCTTGTGTTACTCTGATTTTTACTGTCACTTCCTGACATCTTTTCAAATTAATTAATTAATGAAAATATTTACTAACTTTCTGCTATATAACAGGCACAAAGTGCCCTTGGGGACAGTCTGCCTACAGTTCCTCTTTTCCATCTTTATCAGACTTCTTAAAATAATGATGATTAACGACAATGACAAGGATACTAACAACACCTCCCACTCACTACATGCCAGACACTGGGCTAAAAACTTCACATGCATTATTTCACATAATCTTCAAACATAGGACATTCCATAATTATCCCCCTGAAGGTATTAGGAATCTTAATTATTTCAGCTGACAGTCGCATAGTTCATACTGTGCAGAAGTGTTTTGTCCTCTGTTACTTCGTTCAAAGCCAGCAACCTCACATAACCTCTCTAGGGCAGGCGGCGCAGCGACATCCCCATTTTGCAGAGGACTACATCAAGGCGTACAGTGTTAACAACCTGCTCAGGATCACTCAAGTCAGCGCTGCGACCAGGAACTCAGCCACCCGGTTGCGGCTGGTGCCGCTCCGCCCTGGGGACAGCTCGCTGGCCTAGTCCTGCCCCCTTCCAGGCAGGAGTGGCAGCTCAGTAGGACAGCCAATCCCAGTCCCATGTTCAAGGTCAGCAGGTGAGGAGGGAGAAGTGGGCTGCGCAGATAGGCAAAGAATTACTGAGGACCAGCAACCACCCCAGCCACTTTTAGGGAGACTGCAGGATTTTTCCTCTTACCCATCCTGCGAGACAGGCATTACTGCTCCCACGTACAGTGAGGAACCAGACGCCCAGAAAGGTGACCTTCAGAGCTGACAAGTGAGAGCCGTTGTGACTCCAAAGCAAGAGCCCTTCCCATCACAGTCCGCTGCTGCCTAGAGACTGTAACACCATCACCACCACCACCAC